CCAGATCATGTCCATGGACACCCCACCACACCACCATGCATGCTGGTCTCAGAGCCTGTGGTGACCACTCTGGGACCCAGGTTACATGACGCACAGGTCCCAGAGTGGCCACTGCAGATCCCAAACTGGCTGGATGGGCAAGGCATGTGACGATGGCCTCTTGAGTGGCCAGAGTGGATGCCATGTGTCCTGGGCCCTGTGCATGCCACATGGTCTACTCTGAGGTCCAGGGGCAACACTGGGAGCCAGATGACAAGGTTTCACAGGTTGGATCCAGCTCAGGGGCCTGATGTTTGACACCTCTGGCTTATAGCAATATCAGTACCAAGTGACATTGTTGATAAACAACAATCTGGTAGTTCAGTAAATCCTAGTGTTACATTTACAAGCCTCACCCTGTAATCTGCTCAGAAACATCTCCTCCCTTGGAGAGAAGTCCAGGACACATTTATTAAGTTCTCATCTTGATTTTCTCTATTTTATGTTGTAAGAATGTTCTAATGGAAATGCAATCTTTGTAGGCAAGAACAAATCATTATTGCCCTCTGGGAAGCCAGTCATTTGGTTAACATTGCTTTGCTTTGGACCTTGGTATTGCTGACCTTTTAGGATGTAAACAATCAACCCCAAACTTACTCCTAGGAGTTTCAGCCAGCCATGAGTCACTATTTTCTTCTTGTATGCAACAATTTACATGGATAAGACACAATGCAGTACTCTTCAGGTAGCATTGAACAGGTGTCTTTTGTATGTGATGCATCACTAAAATGTTGGGGGTCAAAACTATCAGAGCCTACAGAAAGGACTGTCTGTCATGGCATCAATATTACACATACCCTAATTTTTGGGACATACTTGAGATTTTTGTTTTAAGGAAAGTTTTAAGAGACCTTTGAAAAGGTCTCATTTTTGTATTACATTAAATGTCAAATTATCATTGCCAATTGTCCGCTTAGATTAATGTAATGCTAATACTGCCAAAATGGCATTGTACCAACATTACCCATCTTAACTTTAAACCCAGACATGTACTACTTTGCTGGTATGGTAAGGACAACATTTTACCTGCTTCAGTTGCAATATTATTGTAATGAGATCTTTGTTATGTGGAAGAAAGTCTTTGATACTGTGGACTAGTAAGTCATCATCTTTTAGTTAACTGGGAAGAAGTACAGTCACATCCTGGAACTGACCTTAATTCATCAACGATTCAAGGCTCCAGATGGAAAACTGCATCTATGGAACATTTGTCACTCATTTTCAGAGGGTAGGAGGATATCCCTTTAGAGACAGGCAAAAATAATATGCTGGAACAGTCCACCCTTACTTGGAAGATTATTTTTTCATTATCTGGAAACAGTTCACAATGCAATGCCAGCTGTTATGATTTTCCATCACACAAATTATATTTCCAGCATTAAAAACTTTTGCACAGAAGTCTCTTGCAGAATCCTTTTCATTATTGTACCGAAATTAATTTTGTACAGTGCTTTGAGGATGAAAAGTTACCACATAAGTCATAAGTGTTATGAGACTATATTATTTCAAGCTGTAGCATCTGCTGATTGAGTTTGCCTTGGATATAGTTGAAGAACAAACTTATCTACCTATGTGTATTAATTAGAGACAACAGAATAAACAAATAGGTCATATGTAGTTAAACCCAATATTAAGTAATTCTAACAAACTGGATTTTTTTTATAACGAAATAAGTTCTTTATCCTATTTCATCTGCTCTTTTACTTTGCAATAGTACCACACTTTTTGCATGATAATGGGTAATGTAAAGAAAAATGCTTACAAAATACATTAAGTGCTATATATTCAAAGCGAACAATATTGTATCATCTACCAAATGTTCACTCAGAAATAGAAACTAAAGATTTCCTCTGAATGGAGTGCCTGGGGGAGACAAATGAAGATGCAGTGACTAAAATCAAGACAGTGCACCTTTAAACCCCATGAGATAAAGGTCTCAGGTCTGAACAATCTGGCTGCTATACAAGATAACAGAACAGAGATACAGACCCAGTGAGGAGGTGTACATGGAACAATGCGGTGCCATGCAGCGATCACCAGGCTAACCCAGGTCCCAGAAGTGGTAAAGCTGCATTGACACAATGCTTCACTCAGACTAATTAACCTCGTGAGGAGCTAACTCTGATATCTCTGGGTGGTTCAGCATTGTGGTGTGTAGAAGGAAGTCAGGAGGCCCCTGGAAAAGCTTGTGGAAACTGCGACCCTCGTGGCTCTGAGTTAGGTTTGGCTTCAGTCATAGCCAAAGGACCATACACACTATGTTCCAGCTGACTAACACATGCTTGTTTTGAAATAACTGCTCTTTGTTACTACTGGAAGGGCTAAGAAGAATTTTAACTCAATTTGACTTGCTCATGAGGGCTAGGTGGGAAAGAGGTTTTACCCCAAAGGCATAGTCATGGAATTAACTGGTTTAAACCTGTAACAGAACAAATGTTCAGTGCACATAAAGCGGTTTGAAAATGGCTGAAACCGGTTTGAGATAAACTTGGTTGAATGTAGTGTCAGACTTGACTGATTTGAGCCAAACCAGTTTATGCGATGTCTGTCCCAGACCCTTTGCTGGTTTAAGCTAAACCAGACACTCCCAGCATCCCAGTGTGGGCTGGGAGCAGCTTTCTGCTCCACAGCAGGGCTGGCCCGGCCCCTCCCCTCTGCTCCCTAGCCAGAGCTCCGGTACAGACTTGCAGGCACAGCAGGGTCTGCTGGCTTCCCTTTACCTCCCTCCCCCTCCCCCCCACCCCACTGCTTAAACAGAGATCCTTTCCTCCTGTCTCTGACAGCACGGACTGTAGCCAGCATGAGGTATGCTAGCTAATGCTGTGTAAGGCAGATAGGACAGTGTCCACTTAGGGCTTTTGGAGGTAATCAACAGCTCAGATGGTAATGTCCCTCCATTCCTTCCTTTGGAAAAGCTGTATAAGAAGAGCTTGTAATGAGCAAAGTTTTGTTTTCTGATGGGGTGTTAAATGTGGATAACAGAGCTGATAAATGCTTTGTTGTCTAGGGGGGTGGGGCTCCCTAATCACAGCGTCCTGCTGGGGCCTGGCCACCCCCTGCTCAACTCAGCCCGGTGGAAGGGGAGGAAGGGCTGCTCTAGTGCTCCCTGCCTTGTAGCCAGAGCCACTGAAGGTATGTGCCTGCATTTCTGGGATGTCTGTCAGGTTACAATACTGATTTAGCCTAGCCAGATTAGACTGACCTGCAAAGATTGAATCAATTCAGGCTTTTTGAATGTCTGTCCCTAGCCTAAGTGATGCCTTGGGACTAGCTTCAAAGGGGCATTCAAAGAGACCCTAAAGGCTGTGGCACTGAAACCCCTTGTAAATCTGATACCCTCATATATTCTCCCCTGCCACAGGTTCTGTCTCTCCATTTCCCAGGTTTTCCCTATTTTCCTCTGCCTTACTGTCGGCTCCACATATGGCACACTTTTCCCATTCTTCACCATAGCATGGGCTTTCTGTAACTCATTCCCTCTGTCATGTGCCAGGGTGCCTCCACTTTTAAAAGTCATTGAGTTCTAGATAGATAGCAGAAGATGTACAGAAAATGTGTTTGAAAAGTATTCAGCTATATGGTCTGTAAGAACTAAATGAATTATTGGTTAGTTCCTATCAAGATTATTGGCCCTGATTATGAGACGTAACTAACCTGTGCTTGGTGCAGAATGGAAGTTGGGGAGAAAAATATGTCAACTTTGTATTTCTGATTCATGGGGTTGGTTCATCCTCTGATCTAAGCTGCGTTACATTGGTTGCTCATCAATTTTAGTTTTGTACCAGATTCTGCAACAGCTGGAGAATGAAATAAATCATGTTTACCATTAATACTATGTGTGACACAATGCAATACAAGTATTGCTTTTTTCCGTGTGGGTCAAGTAATTTGTGTGACTCCTAAAACATATTTCATGTGTAGTGCTTCAATGTTTAAGGGTAGTCTCTTCTTTCCAATTAGTATCAGTGTTAAGTTGATATCTTAAGGTGAACTGAAGTTTAAAACTAGTGGGTAATCCCCATTGATAAAGTTCAGCAGTAAAAAAAATCTGTATGTTATTAGACAGATTAAGATTTCTTTGGAAAGATTTAGGGATATAAAAAACGCCATTCAGGAAAAACAGCCAACACCAGCTGTTTCAGAAGAAGGTATGAGAAATCATATGTTGGGCAGTTATGGAATAACATGCTCTAAGGAAAGCTTTCTTCTATCTCTTGACAGTAAAAGGTTGATTTATGCTCTGAAGCTGAGGACCTGTATGCCTTTCAAAATTGTTTCTTTTCTTTTATAGTGTATGACTGGATCTTAAACAAATCTGCCTTAGAAATACCATAATTTTTTTAAATGAAAGTACTTTCTTCAGTCAATGTTATTACCTGAACCACAGCTTACTATTATGATTAGGATTTTTACAATATATTTTCCATGCTGTTGCTGAATTTCATCTAAATATTTTATCTATTTTATTTTTAAATGTTTTATTTTGGTCAAATGAAAGTAATTTAAATACTATCATATTTTCATATTCATTTTCACCAATGAGCAGGATTTCCTGACACGAATGCATTTTGTCTTATTGCCTAGCAAATAAAGTTCTAGATTTCTGTGATGTGGGGCAGAAAGAGAAGGACTTGTTCTTGATGAGCTCCTTGACCCATGATTTACCTGCTTTTTTGCTGCTAGCTACCAGACTCCAACAGTTGTTCTCAAAATTTTAGGTTGGCATCTTTTTTTTTTTTTTTTTTTTTTTTTTTTTTTTTTACAGTTTATAGATATTAAGTCAAGGCCTGTGATCAAAACAGGGATACAGAGGGCCAGCTTCTAGGCTTTGATACTGCCCGTTCTGAACTGCAGCAGCAGCACAAAGGGGATGAATAGTTAACCTAACATGGTAACTAGGGAATCCACTAATATAGAAAAATAAAGTCAATGGAGGTAATTTTTTTTATCCCTATGCACCCTTCCTTCTTCCTACACAACACAAGGGTATAACACAGAATTCACTATATTCTGATCCCTGAGTGGCGCAGCAGTCCATAGTGGAATGCAAGTGGAACGAACGTACAGCAGCCCTTACACTGCCTGTTTAGATGCAGCTTTGGGAACTGGAATGGCGGCTTTCTCTTCCTAATGTCAGGACCCAAACCAAGCAGAGCTCAATGATACAAACTGCCCCTTCATAGTTACACTTACACCCCTTTGTTGATGTCCAAATCACACTATTCCTTGGCAGGAAAAGCTCTTTGTAGCTGACAGGAGTTTTGCCTGAATAAACCACAATAGAATCAGGTCCATATAGTTTACCATATGGGTCAGTCAAATTAAGTAATTTTAATAAAACAGTAATGATAAGAGTAGACTTTAGCAGCTGACAAATCCTCTTTTTTGGTTTGTGGGCTAGTGAATATGGGTGGAATTTTCAGAAAGCTCAGTATTGTCAACAGCAGTTTTACAAATGACTTCAATGAGAGCCAAGATTAGAAAAGATCAAGTAGTTCCAAAAACTCACCCTAGATTGTTAACCTACATTCTTCACTGATTTGGATTTGTGACACGACTTTTATCTTTTGTAACTTCATTTCACAGGATCTATTCCACTGTGAGATCATAATTAGAGCCTTAGAGGACACAAATTATGGATTGCTGTCATTTCAGATGTTCTGAATGCCTTGTGACTCAGAAATCAAGAGGAGGTCAGGGTACATTTTGTAGATAGAAATTAAAGTGTCCCATAAAGAAGAAATAGCTCGATTATAGGGGGACACTGTGCCCAATGCCAAAGCTTTCAAAAGGACAGTTCAGATTCTCAGTCCTCTGATTTTTGATGTTTCTGAGAATTTCCAAAAACTCCTCATTTAACCTACCTCCTAGTAGGTTAGCAGGCAAACCATGGCAGCATGAAGCTTAACACAGGATAAATTATCTGCTGCTTCTTGGGTATATTAGCCTATGCCAAGTTGTGTGATACTGCATCTTGGGTATCTCTACACTACCTCGTAGTCTGAAGTGCAGACATACCTTATTACCTTAAGCTCATTATGCGATGACAGACCACTTGGGTTCCCCCCCCAAATAAAAGTATCCTTGTGGAAGGCTCTAAAACAAACCAGTTTTACACATGTAAAATAGAAATATTATTCCTCCTGTTTCACAACTCTATGCCTGTTCTTATACATAGAAAAATCATCTCATGCTAAAACCTGCTTGCATGATGGGAAAAAAAAAAGGCCACATCTTTCAGACTGCAGCAGAGCCGGACCAGGCATTACTGAATCCTTCACACCACTTGTGGAGCCCACAAAGAAAACTTTATGTCCTGCCACAGGTACAGATGAGCACTGGCTTTGGAGTCTGTGACGGTTTTCATTCAGAGATTTTTCTCTCAAGGAAAGAGTTTAAAAGAGTTTACTTCTAGATTCTCAAATGCCTAAATTGGCACAGCTCCATGGACTGCAATGACCTTATGCCAATTTACACCAGTTGAAGACCTGGTCCAAATCACTACACTGCCCTGCATTAGTGGTGCTACACATTTGTTAGAATGGGTTAAAAACTGATAGACTATTAGGTGGGAGGGTGTTCCCCTGACAGTGTTTTGTCTGTTCTTCAGGTTTAGATTCTGCCAATGTCTCTCCTGCTGAGTAATATGTTACTCCATGATTAGTTCGTCTCATGGCTTAAATAAGACAATTTGCAAGAATGAAAGAGTGGCAAATTTGGCAATTTTGTAAACTAGTAGCTAGTGATGTAATTACTGGGTAACACTGAAACAGAAAAACACAGACAAAAGGGTGATTTAGGGAAAAATAATTTTGCAAATAATTTAGTTACATGTTTGCTCTCCTTGTGTTGTGAGATATAAGTATCTGAAAGTAAGTTTTAGCTTAGTTTTAAGTTCTTGAAAAATAGAAATGCACTAATCTTCAAGAAAGAACTTCTGAGTCATTTATGCCCCTATGATACACCACCAAGTGACTACACGATGCACTGAAGGGTCTTTCCTGTGCTACACAGATATATAAAACAATCTGTCCTTGTCATTTCTATATATTAAAGCTGACTCAGTTGTCTCCTTATAATTGCAGTTATTCTGCTCCTGGATTCATTCAGAGATGCTCTTCCTCTAGGAGGATGTGGTGGAGTTAGAACTGGTAAACCCACATCACCATTGCTCTTGTGCTTATTGGATGCTGGTGTATTAGCAGCTCTTGAAATGCCACACAGCCCTGAGAGTTTGATTTCCTTCCCAGAGTTTGGACTTATAAGGTTTTTTTGCCCATAACTATTGACCAGTGCAGCACAGGAGGTTACACTGCCCTGAGTGAGAGAACACTGTGACAATGGGAAGTTTCCACTGAGTGTCTTCAGTTCCAGTATTTGTTCTCTGGCTTGAGTCAATGCTTCGGTTAGTCCATAGCGTTCCTCACACTCCCTGCGCACCGTTTCCTGGAGAAGAGAGTTCTGAAAGCAGAAAGAAACACATGCTTTGTGAAATACCAACAATAAAAAAAAAGACACATGCTACATGTGTTGAACTCCTCGAACTGAAGGTACTGAGGATCAGAGGATGTATGGTACCACACAGGATAAGGAAGGGGGTCTAAAATGATAATAAAAATGGCCAAAGCAAACCAGATACCCACATTTCTAGTTTTTCACCTGGGCTCTGTTCTTTTTTCACAGTTTTATCTGTCAAAACAACTGCCCTGTAAGTGGTGCACAGTGAAGTATAACCTGACCTGATGGCAAGTGAAGAGCTGGTTTGAGATGACTACATACATCTAAATACAGGTATTTGGCTCACAGTCTTCTAACAACTTGGTGTAGGTAGCCTGGATGGACAGCACAGTAGATATATTTTTTTTGCCAGAAGACTTCTACTTTTTCAGCACTTAGTGGTTAAAAATTTCATATGCCATCTTGCAATCTGCTTCCACAGTTAAAACTCATGCTAAATATTTCCCGTATTCCTGCTTAGTCACACTATTGGGGCATTTTTATTTTATTTTCAGTGTTTGCATAAGAGCTGTTCTAAAAGGTCACAAGTTCACTTCTGCCTCAAATTGTCAAATAGCAATTTACTAAAAGCTACAATGGAACATCTAATCTGCTGAATCCGTAATGCATCTCAAGAGTTATCAGGAAATACATTTTTCCTAGCTCAACTTTCATTAAAAAGAAAGTAGTGCATTTATTATCCTCTGTTATGATGCTTATATTATTTCCAAGGGTCTCTGAATCAAAGAATTTGTTACAAGGCCTGCCAACTTTCCCCATCACTGCTGCTATGCATTGTGTCATTCCAAAGCCAATGACCTATGATCTTAGATTTGGATCAAATGAGATGGCAAACCATGAGTCTCAAAAACTCATCACAACTGGTATCTTTGAAAGCTGCTCAAAGGGCAACATTAGCTGTAATCCCAGACATTCACTCTTGCCAACCCTCCATTCACAATTGTTGGCAGAAATGGGAAACAGAAAAGTGAGTTACCATGAAATTACTGTTGTAAATCTGCTCACACACCTTGAAAACAGGGAGAAGGGGATGCCTGTTTGTAGAAAAGAAGGAAAGACAGTGGGGAAGGAAGCTGAGATAAGATTAATATACAAGTAATGTCACATACAACAATCCCAAAAGTGAGGTGTTCATAAAATAGCATCAGATGGAATGGGAAGGTGGTGGAGGGGAGGTAGAGGGGAAGGAGGCCAGGAGCAGGGAAAAGAATAAAAGAAAAGATGGGGTCACAAAGAAGCAGCAAAAATAACCAGCTCATTTCCCTTGCTTGCTACATACCGCAATTTACTGAGGAAGAGCCAAGATGAAGGGAAAAAGAAAAGGGAAAAAATGAAGGGAGACAAGTACTTTAGTACTGGCAACTACTCAGATCAGAAGGCAGACAACCAAAAAAAAGAAAAGGAAGAAGGAAAATAGCCCCCAACCCCAGATTCTCAGATGGCTGCCAGTTGGTATTGTTAATAGCTATCAACATCTACGTCTTTCTCCCATTGTACTCAGCCTTGGGGAGGCCGCAGCTGGAGTACTGCGTCCAGTTTTGGGCTCCACAATTCAAAAGCGATGTGGAGAAGCTTGAGAGGGTGCAGAGAAGAGCCACGAGCATGATCAGAGGTCAGGAAAACAGACCTTATTATGAGAGGCTGCGAGCAACGGGGCTATTCAGCCTGGAAAAGCACAGGCTCAGGGGTGATCTGGTGGCCACCTATAAGTTTATCAGGGGTGCTCATCAGGTTCTGGGGGAACATCTGTTCACCAGAGCCCCCCAAAATCGATGACAAGATCGAACGGTCACAAACTCCACTGTGACCGATTCAGGCTGGACATAAGAAAGAACTTCTTCACTGTCCGATCCCCCAAGGTTTGGAATAGACTGCTGCCGGAGGTGGTTCAAGCACCCACTTTGAACACCTTCAAGACACATTTGGATGCTTATCTTGCTGGGATCCTATGATCCCTGCTGACTTCCTGCCCCTGGGGCAGGGGACAGGACTCGATGATCCTCCGGGGTCCCTTCCAGCCCAAATGTCTATGAAATCTATGAAATGTTAGGCTACAACTAGCCAGTGATTGGTGAAATCCTGGGCATCTGGAATCCTGGGTGTCTGGGATCCTATGTAGCAAGCAATCAGATATAAGCAGGGATCTGGGTTTTCTGTTTTCCCCAGAAAAATGGAGTAACCCACGGATTTTACCTTTTACTGGAGGCAAGCACAGATTTCTTATTTTACCAGAGAAACCCATGGATTGTGCAGTTTTGCAATGAGCCCCCTGCAGGCTGGCAGAGTTACAGCCTGCAGGGAGCTGGTGGGGAGCAGGAGGATGGTGGTCAGGCAAGGGGCACCATGGCCACCAGGCAGCCTGGAGCAGCTCCTGAAGATAAACTGGGGGTGCAGATTGAGGCCCCCATAGGGAGGGAGGAAGGGATGCAGGGAGTTGAGGAGGTCTGGGGCTGCTGCCCAGCTGGGCAGTGCCTGGGCTTGGGGCCTGGCGCCGCAACATGCAGCTGCAGGGCCCTGGTGGGGAGTGGGACAGTGCCACAGGTGGCTTGTCTGGGAGGCGGGGCTGGCTCCCTACCACTGTACACATTCCCAGGGAGGCAGGGGGACCCATGCCCCCCACAGTTGTGTGCAGGGCGGGGGCTGCATGCTGCCCACTTCAGGTTTGGGCTGCCACCCTGATGTCCTCCCCCAGAGTCTCCACAGCCCAGCGTTTGTGACCCGGTGCTACAGGGAACAGCAGATTTGCACAGAAAGCTGCCTGCCACTGCAAGCCCCATGCTGCCGGGGTCCCCCATGCACAACCCCATGCTGCCACCCCCACTGAAGTCACGTGCACAGGGGACACCTTGCTAGGGCAGCGCAGAGCTCGCAGGGGCAGGCAGCTTCCTGTGCAGCTCCACTGTTACTGGCAGCGCTGGGTCCCATACTCTGAGCTGTGGAGGCACCAGGGAAGGGCAGCAGGGCAGGAGCTGCAGCAGAGGGTCCCTGCATATATGTGGGGGTCCCTGTGCCCCCCAGGAGTGCATGCCATGGTGGAAAGCAGCCGCCCCCTCCCGTCTGAGCCTGCAGCGGGCAGCAGGCAGCAGCGGGGCGGGGGGGAGAGGGAGCTGGGCTCTGCTCTGCTGCAGCAGCTGCCACCTCCTGCCAGGGAGGACCCAGGTCCCTGGCCCCTAGCCCTGGCAGCTGGGAGCCCCCTCCAGCGGGGCTGGGGGAGCAGGAGCCTTGAGTGGGGGTGAGAGGCACCAGCAGGGCTGGGGCAATGGGGGAGTGAGGGGCACCAGCAGGGCCAGAGGGTTGTGGGAAGGGATTGAAGAGCACCAGCAGGGCTGGAGGGGGGAGGTGCACCTGCAGAGTCAGGGGGCTGTGGGGGGGAAATGAGGGGCACCAGCAGGGCTGAGGGGCTGTGGCAGGGAGGGAGGGCTACTAGCAGGGCCGGGGCCTTTCATTTTAATCACAGATTTTGTGGATTTTATCAGAAAATTTGTGATTTTTTTATCAGGGAAAACCAGGATCCTTGGTCATAAGTGATATTAACTGAACTCAGCCATGTCAGATGGCTTTGCCTTTCAAGTTAAAACTGTGGTAAGTGACCCATATTGTGAGCTTGGGCATTCTTGGGACTGGAGTGGCTGGTACTAGAACTAGGAGGGAACTTCATTAGCTAAAACATGAAATCAGAGCAATCTAGCTAATTTTCAAAAAATAAAATAGAGATTTTAAAGGCTGAGAAAGCAAACACAGCATGAAGAACATGAGGCAGCCTCTGATGGCAAAAAATAATAAATAAAAACCGGTTTAAACTGGACAGAAGAAAAGACCACCGGGTTCAAACTACAAGATTTCTACCGGCAATATTCTAACTCCAGTCTTACAGAACCATTTTCGTAGAGGCAAGAATGACAACTCTTGTTGTAGAATTTTATGAAAAGTGTATGAGTAATCCAGACAGTGAAAAATTCATGCAAGCCAAGGCATTGGCTGTTTTGCTTATTTCTATTGGTCAAGTTGGTCACATCATTGTGAATAAGTCATTTAGCACATTAGTGCTCATCTTTAAGCTAAATGATTGAGAACTGCTCCTGAAGTTTTGCAAATGCATTCTTTAATCATTATTTTTTGTTAAATAGTTTAGGCAAACATTTTCTATCTTGGGATTGTTTGGAAACTATTTACTATGATGATAGACCAAATTTATAATATTGTTCCTGATCCCTAATAAGATAACTGAAATTCTTCACAAATGATGGAATTTCCCAAAATAATGTTACATGGAAGCCGAGTACAGTATTAGTAATAGTGTACTTCTACCTTCCTGTCTAAGACAAACAGGGCAGATGAGATGGAGAGACTAAAGGAAGAGCAAAAAACAACAGAATTAACTTGATTCAAAGGCTAGGGACAGACATTCAAAAAGCTCAAGGCAGAATTGATCTAAGTTTTGTGTAAGCAGTGTAGTTTAGATCAGTGACGAACACATATTTGCCCTTCGGTGGCGGGGGGTGTGGGTTGGCGGTGGGAAGGGGTGCAAATCTTAGAATGGATTCCACCATTCTTAAACCAGTTTAAGTACTGAACTTCTGTTTTGTTATGGGTATAGACCAGTTTCCGATCACTTATACCAGTTAAAGTGTAATGATTGTACCTGGTCAATAAGGTCAAAGCACTCACAGCACTCTAGATGGCTAAAAAGTATATATGTGTACTTTCTTAAAGTTACTTGTCCAGCTAAGTAACTGCTGGAGTTGCCACAGAAACGTTATATATGATCATGGATGGGAAGTGGTCCATAAGACAATTTCTCCAATAAACCATGAAAAAATCTGAGTGCCCCTGAAACAGGAGAATGACAAAGAAATAGCAAGTAGACAGCACTCTAATTCATGCAAAATATACCTTGGTTTGCACACTAGCCATTCCCTAACTGTAGGAATGAGCCGAGTTGTAGGCAGGTTCATATTCATGTAGCATCTTGAGAATGAGACTTGTAGTTTCTTTTTCAGGCTGCGTGCAAGACTGAGATGGTGAACTGCTACAACAAAGCAGCTAAGGTCTAATAAATAGCATAGAATCTCAGTGACCTTTCTTTGAATGGCTTTAAGAGGGCTACTGAAATCAGTGAGGCCTGAGAACTATAGATCAGAACAATCAAGTTGGAAGATGAGCGGTCAGGAAGGCCAACCGTACCTTGTCACGCATCCACAGATGCATCTCAAGCAGGTCCAAGGAGGTGATCCTCCCCCTCTATGTGGCACTGGTCAGGCCGCAGCTGGAGTACTGCATCCAGTTCTGGGCGCCACACTTCAAGAGGGATGTGGACAACATGGAGAGGGTCCAGAGGAGGGCCACCCGCATGATCAGGGGGCAGCAGGGCAGGCCCTATGAGGAGAGGCTACGGGACCTGAACCTGTTCAGCCTCCACAAGAGAAGGCTGAGGAGGGATCTAGTGGCCTGTTACAAACTAGTCAGGCACTGGGGGAGTCCCTGTTCCCCCAAGCGCTACCAGGAGTGACTAGAAATAATGGTCACAAGCTGGCAGAGGATAGATTCAGATTAGACATTAGGAGGTGCTACTTCACTATCAGGGAGGCTAGGATCTGGAACCAACTTCCAAGAGAAGTGGTGCTAGCTCCTACTCTGGGGGTCTTTAACAGGAGGCTAAATGAACACCTTGCCGGTGTTGTTTAACCCCAGTACTCTTTTCTGCCCATGGCAGGGGGTCGGCCTTGGTGATCTGCTCAGGTCCCTTCCGACCCGACCAGCTATGAAACTATGACATGCCCAAACCACTGGGTTCCTTAGAAACCATTTTTTCCACCTGATGAAAATTCAGGAACATTTGAATCAAGGTAAGCAGCACTTCTGCTTAAAAGCTTTGCTGTTAAAAATATTTCCCATGAAGATCTGAGGCTATTACTTCTGAGGGACATGCAGGTTGTTTTCAAATCCAGAAAAATCACTGGGGAAACAAAGGCTTTTTCACTAAACAGCTTTATCTAAATGGTAAGAACCTGACACCTGCTTTAAAGCATATGTAGAAGCAGAATTTGATGAGGTGAGACAGCAAAGAAATTTACTGGAAGAAGTTATACAAAGTCATGAACAATAGAAGAACAGCATAATTAGAGGCTTTATTCAACCTATCTAACCTGTGTGCCATCTGAGTGCAAAGTGCCTGTTGCTCAAGTCACATGATAATATGTATAAAAAATAATAAACCCCTTACAAAGTGGTTCTTTAACTATTTCTTTCCACAGAAAATGTATAGGAAAAAGTTAGGGCTAACTTTTCTTCCCCATTCCCAGTGAAAGATTCAAACCTGTTTTAATTCTGCAAACCACCAAAATTCCCATTCTCTTGCTTACTGGTGTATAAAGCTAACCTCACGCTTTTCTGCATGGCTATTCTGGAAGCACGGACCACATTTTAGAGCAGAAAAAGGGGAATTGCCCGAACTGTGGGAATCACTGGCTTATTATTAGTAGTAGTAGTTGTAGTAGTATTAATAATACTCATTATCATCATCTTGTAATTATTATGTTCCTTAGTCTAATACATTTCTTGTTCGGTATATAAAAAAAACAAGTCTTTCAGACTTGTTTTTCCCCATTGTATGCCAAGTACTTAACAACTGCTGATGATAGGAATATTCAGAAGTTTAACTCCTCTTCACATTTGAGACTACTTTATGCACGCCTAGATTGGTGATATGAAATTTATTCTTATAAATTATCCTTAAATTTAATTACATTAGTTATAAATTACTGTTCTTATAAATTATCTTAACTCTTAATAAATTATTATTCTTGTAATTTTTTCCTGTATATTTACAACTGCTGTATGGAACATTACTATCATGTGCTTTTTCATTTGCACCCTAATACATCTCTGGTGTGTTGTGAGGCATGAGGCTGAAACAATATATTAGTTGAATTGCTTGTCTTACTGTGTCTTTTATACATTTAAAAAAAATAATCTTCATAAAATGTGCCATTATTTGGCCTTACTGTTTATTCAGTTATTAAAAAAATGTAAAATCAGCATGCTACAGATATGCAATTCTTTTTAGACATTAAATGTACAATTTTAGATTTATAAAAGCTGTGTGTTCATAATAATAATAGACTAGGACATGTGTCTCTTACTAAATATAGCAGGGTCAGTTTCCTACCTCTTCTTCAGCCTGACTCAAATTCTGAAGCAGCTGGGTTTGTTCCTGGGTTATTTTTTCCAGTTCATCTGACTTCTTTTTCATTTCTTTCCTCATACGCTCCAAAAGCGAATCATTGCTGTTCTGTTCCTTCTTAAGCTGAAATTCAAGCTCAGTATTCAGTCTTTTAAGGCTTTGAATTTCTTTTTCCATATCTGTGTTCTTTTCTGTCAGTTTGTTTTGTGCTGCTCGTAGTTTCTTTTCAAGAATTTCCACTTCCACATTTAGGCTATCTGTGGCCCTGGATATTAATTCAGGGACCTGCAAGATATCTTGCATTACTTTTCATCCAATGATTTCTGAAGTTATGAAGACTTACATATCTGACAAAAGGAGGCTTGAAGGACAATAAGAAAGTGGAAATGTGCGGGTCCTAAGAGGTATTAAAATCAATACTACTCTGGATTTATACAATATTTACATAGTACCCATAGAGGAATTCACGGTTCTATCAAAACTTGAGCACAGAGACAATAAATGGTTTGCCTAAAGTAGGGGTATAGAACTCACCTTCTGCATTGGGCCACGTTCAGTACCATGGGGCTCCTTGCAGGCTAAATCCAACATGGGATCTAAGGAAGCAGTGGTGACATTGCAACTCTGGCTTTGACTTAGGACATGTAGCAGCACCTCCAGTTCCTGCCTTGGGCCCTGTGCCAGAATTGAGCTGCCACTGCTGTGTGCCCTGTTCTAGAGCCTGAGTTGCCACTACCACATGCCCAGTGCCAGAGCTGGAGCTGCAGCAGTGTGGAGAGGCAAAACAGATGGAGAGTAACCAGGGCTGTGTCAGTCTTCCCCCGCTCTCCTGCCACACTGATCTCCCTGTCTACCTACATAATGAAACACAATCTAAGGAATTAATTTTCACCTTGATATATTTTCTTTCAAAGGGTGCCTACAGACATTAGGGCTGTACTCTAACTCATGGCGCTTTACATAGAGTGCCATGAGCTAGAGCTCGCCCCCGCCCCCCCAGTGGACATTTGCCTGTTGGGTCAGGGTGGGGAGGGGTTGCAGAAAGCCTGTACCGGCCGTGGCCAGCAGGCGGGGGCACTTCAGCAGCCTCCAAGGAGGCTTCTGAACCACCCCTCTCCCTAGCCCCACCATTCAGAGTAGCCAGGAACCTCCTCCCCCTTCCTCCCCCCTGACAGCTGAGGGAGGCAGGGCTGAGCTGATAGCACTAACCCACCCCCACCCTCCACAAGAAAATTAACCCTGGAGGGAATACAAGTTCCCAAATCAATACCTGGTTTGACCAGGGTTATTTTTTTTTGCCTGATTGGCTATTTTAAAAGTGCTCCACAGCTGTTCTTGTATGTTAAGTTATGGCTGGGGAGTGCTTTCAGGGGCCTGATTGTACAAAAAATGTCACTTGTGAATGCACCCAAAGTTACAAACCTGCTCTGATATCATCAACTTTCTTTCAATTTTCTCATACCTTTTTCTGTAACTCTTCCTTATCTTTTTGATACTTGATGATTAATTCTTGGTGTTTTTGTCTTTCAGTGTCTAGTTCTATCCTAGCTTCTTCCTTGAGTATGAGAATCTCTTCTTTGTGTAGATGTGATATCTTTTATTAGACCTACTAAAAAAGTCTTTGCAAGCTTTTGGGCACAAACACCATTTCTCAGGCATAGGGAGACTCCGTTGATGTTGTGTTCTCCTGGGTAGA